TTTTTTTTTTTTTACATTAACAGATTCTATCATCAAATTGTAAACTAGGGCATGGTTCATATCGTGCTCCTCTTCAGGAGCCCAGCTCCCACTGAACTGCCTGGAGCACAGAAGTGTTCAATACATGTTTGTGGAATTAAATGGGGGAGGGAGGAGAACAGACTCTCTGGATTATGTTCAGGTGTTAGCCAGTGGAAGAGACCTTGGGCTGTGAGCATTGTTGAGTCGGATCTGGCCATTTGGCAGCCCCCCAACTCCATGCAGAATGCCAGGGCTCCTAATGTCACCTCCCGCCAAGACATGGAGCATATACAACAGAACCTCCTGCTTCTCAAAACCTCAAAGCTGGTTCTAGGACATCGTAAATGCCCTCGTAGCATTTTATAGAATGAATACAAACACTACACAAACATAAGAAAATGATCTTCGTTTATAATTCTTAAAAAGGTTTTATGAAAAGCAACCTTGGTTTTCCAGGCTCCAAAACAAACATGCATCCCCACTGAGAAGGAAGTTGCTTCTGGGTGGGAGAGCAGAGGGCTACCAGCTCATGCTTCCGAACCAGCTGCCTCGTCTTACAGCTGTGTGACCATGGGCCCGAGCCTGCCCTCTCTGTGTCTCCATTTCCTTTTCTGTACAAAGGACAACTTAATAATACCCACCTACTAGGATCCAAGAGGCATCCAATAAAATGGTGCAGGTTAAGCCGCCTGCACACTGCCTGGGGTTTAGGTGAGCTCAAGTGGCTGTCAGCTGAGTTTTCTTATAAAACCAGCATCCACACCATCTCTGGGGTTTTATCAGTCACTGATTAGACCCAGCAAATGATGTCATTCCTATCCATTCGTTCAATAAATACTGATGGAGAGCCTGCTGTGTGCCAAGCTGTGCTCTGGGCATGGGAAATGCAGCTGAGAACACAATGACCCCGCTCCCATCCATTTGTTCAAGAAATATCGTAAAGTGCCTACTGTGTGCCAGGCACATGCTAAGTGCTGGGAAAAAGCAGTGCTCTCTATCCTCATAGATGTGACAGTCAAAGTGGGAGAGAGACATTAGAAAAGAGTTTCAATCAAGCAGGTGGAGCTTATGTAAGGCCTGGGAGAAGCCTCTCCCTCCCCCAGACCTTTCTTGCAAGTCCCGGCCCTAGTTTAGCAGAGTTATTTTATCTCTTCCTGGGATCGGTCTGTGCTAACTGACCTTTCCAGTAAGCCTAGTGCTCTGGTGTAGTCACAGCAGAGTTGTTTTATCTCTCCCTGGGGTAGGTTTGTGCGAGACAGACCACCCTGGCCCCTCAGAAAATAAGTCAACTACAATCACAGGCCAGGCCCGTCATTGAAAAATGTTTTGTGCAACTTTTTGAAAGACTGGGTGCACAGCTTAAACATTTTATTCTGTCCCTCAATTCATAATCTCATACCAATGCATAAATGCTGTTCATGTTCTAGGTGAGTGGAGAAAACACAGATACTTGCTATATTCTACACTCAGTCAGAAAGCCTGCTAACTGCCTGTAAAAGCTCCACGGCAACAGAGGAGGCCTCTTCAGGAAAGGTGTGCCCAGCCCTGAATGGGGGGTAGGAACTCAGAGGCTGGAGCCCGTGGGCTGAGGGCTTAGGGAGGAGTCCACAACCCTCAGTGCCATCCTGTCAGCCTCAGGATTAACACCCTCCCTGCAGTTTGCAATCACTCCCCATCCCAGCCGCAGCTCTAGGCAACCACCAATCTGCTTTCTGCCTGCAAATTTGCCTTTTCCAAACATCTAACACAAATAAAACCACTCGACAAAACTTTGGCGGGGGGGGGGGGGGCGGTGATTAAAATGTCCTAAAAGTGTGCTAAGGTGATGCTGAGAGATCTCTATACCTTTAAGTGTCAATCTTCTCTTAAGTTATACCTCAATTAAATTGTGTGTTGTGGTTTTTTAAAATATATTTTATTGATTTTTTACAGAGAGGAAGGGAGAGGGACAGAGAGTTAGAAACATCCATGAGAGAGAAACATCCATCAGCTGCCTCCTGCACACCCCCTACTGGGAATGTGCCCGCCACCAAGGTATATACCCTTGACCGGAATCGAACCTGGGACTCTTCAGTCCACAGGTCGACGCTCTAGCCACTGAGCCAAACTGGTCAGGGCATGTGTTGTTGTTTTAAACTTCCAGTGGCTTCCTATTATTTTGGGCTAAAATCCAAATTCATTTGCCTGGAGCCCTGCGAGATCTGGTATTGGCCTGGCCCTCCCACCTCAACCCTCCGCTTGCTCTGCTCTCCTTGCTGGCTGAACCTCCTCCTCCCGCCAATCTCTGCCCTACCTCCAGGCCCTGCAGTGCCCTCTGCCTGCAAGGCTCTGGCCCTCATCTCCCCACAACTGTCCCTTCTTTCCTGTCCTTTATGTCTCCATCTCAATGGGCTCACAGAGGCCTTCCCTGCCAGTGACACTGTTCTCTCTCTTTCCTTCTTCCCAGCTCTCACCATGCTTGCATTGTTAAATGTCTACAGTATTTCACCATTAAAATCTAAGATCCTGCCTGGTCAGGCATGGCTCTCAGTGTTTGACTGTGACCTATGAACCAGGAGGTCACGGTTTGTTTCATGGTCAGGGCACACGCCTGGGTTGTAGGTTCTATCCCCAGGAGGGGGCATGCAGGAGGCAGCTGATCAATAATTCTCTCTCATTATTGATGTTTCTCACTCTCTCTCTCTCTCCCTCTCTGAAAGCAATAAAAACATTTTTTTTTTAATCTAAGATTTAGGCCCTAACCAGTTTGGCTCAGTGGATAGAGCATCGGCCTGTGGACTCAAGGGTCCCAGGTTCAATTCCGGTCAAGGGCATGTACCTTGGTTGCGGGCACATTCCTGGTGGGGAGTGTGCAGGAGGCAGCTGATCGATGTTTCTCTCTCATCGGTGTTTCTAACTCTCTATCCCTCTCCCTTCCTCTCTGTAAAAATCAATAAAATATATTTTTTAAAAAATCTAAGATTTAGGAGGGCAGGGCCAGTCTGTCTGTTTTATCAGCATCTAACACATAGGGGAGCTCAATCTATTGAACCCTCCAATGGTGGTGGAACCTGGATGAGGATGCTAAGAAGGGACCAAGGTATTCCAAATGAAGAACAGGTGTGCGCAAAGGAGAACGTCATGAGTCAATTAGAGCTGCGGGTTTGGGCTTGTTAAAAGATAAACAGAGGCATGTTTAAACATGTAAGAGTTTACTTAAGTGAAAATCAATTCAAATCAGGCAGCACCAAACTGGAAAACTCCTATGGAGAAAGTGGGGAAGCGACACAAGGAAACTGACTGGCTATAGCTTAAAGCTTAGCTAACAGTTTAGCTAACACTTCGATTTCATAACCTTGAGGTTTACGTTTTGGTTTACTTACTTTATAGACAGCCATGGTATTAGAACCCCATCCATCCAATGGCCTCCTTATTGAATCAATGAAACAGGCTGCTCAGTTCAAATGGAGAATTTCTGTGGCACTCAGGTGCTTAGAACTTGGCAAAGGAGTAACAAACATCAAAGCAGGAAGAAGACCAAAGATCAGAACTCACCAGAGACTGCCTGCCACTTGCCAACTCCTCGTTGACATAGGGAAAGTGGACTTCAGAGGCACGGAAGCTGGCGGCAGGCCTTGGCTAGTTTGCTGATGATTCTTGGCAGCCTGGACATAAAGAACAGAAAGACCTTGCCAAAACCGGTTTGGCTCAGTGGATAGAGCATCGGCCTGCGGACTGAAGGGTCCCAGGTTCGATTCCGGTCAAGGGCATGTACCTGGGTTGTGGGCACACCCCCGGTGGGGGATGCGCAGGAGGCGGCTGATCGATGTCTCTCTCTCATCGATGTTTCTGACTCTCTCTCCCCCCTCCTCTCTGTGAAAAATCAATAAAATATATTTAAAAAAAAAAAAAAAAAGAACAGAAAGACCTAATCCTTCCACATCAATATATGTGCGTCAGGGGGGTAATTCAATCCCCGAGAGGAGCAGTCACTTTGAATGTGGTTAACTGAGGTGAACTTTGGTTCCGCCTCAGGCCTCAGAGACGCTCTTGGGGCCCATTTGAGGTCACTGACTGTTAGTTCAGGTGTCAGCAGCCCTCTGAAGCCTTGCGGGAGAATCCGCCCCGTCCCTCTCTCCTAGTTTCCTGAGGTTGCCAGCAAGCCTTGGCATTCCTTGGTTTGTAGCTGCCTCACTCCAGCCTCTGCCTGTCTTCACATGGCCGTCTCCCCTCTGTGTATCGCTAGGTGTGTGTCTTTTCTTACAAGGACACAGGTCAGTCTGTTTTTCGGGCCCACCCTACTCCAGTATCACCTTATCTTAACATATACATCTGCAAGGATCCTGCTTCCAAAAAAAGGTCACATTCTATGGTTTGAGGAAGGTGTGAATTTGGAGGGGACACTATCCAACCCGGTACACTGACCCTGAGTGGCTCTTAGGAGTAGTGGCTCAAACCGTGGCCTGAGTTCAAGCACTAATTGTACTGATTGTGGACAGAAAGAGTCGGACCTGGCCCTGAGTGCCCATGGCCAACAGACTTCTGCTGGCTCCTAGGTGCATTGGCACCAACAGGCGCCACCTAACCCTGGACACTGCCTTGGACCAGAAGCCTGAAAAGAAGTATCCTCTCAAAAGAATCCTGAAGCCCTAACCGGTTTGGCTCAGTGGATAGAGCATCCACCTGCGGACTGAAGGGTCCCAGGTTTGATTGCAGTCAAGGGCATGTACCTTGGTTGAGGGCACATCCAGGGGGTGTGCAGGAGGGCCTGATCGATGTTTCTCTCTCATCGATGTTTCTAGCTCTCTATCATTCTCCCTTCCTCTCTGTAAAAAAAAAAAAAAAAATCAATAAAATGTATTAAAAAAGAAAAGAATCCTGAAGTACATGCTACAAAATAACAGGCCAGTTCCATGGGCTTCCAACTTGTGTGGGTTCACAGGGCCTGTGCACAGAGGGGTTCCATGCTAGCTTTCATACTCTGCTCTCAACATGTTGAAATTCTTAATATTTTAACAAGGATCCCTGCAAATTATGCAGCTGACCTGCCTGTCCTCTTCCAAAATGTCAAGCTCAGTTGGTTAGAGCATCATCCCAATACGCCAAGGTTGAGGGTTCAATTCCTCGTCAGGGCATACACAAAAGCAACCAAGGAATGCATAAGTAAGTGGAACAACAAATTGATGTTTCTCTCAGTCTCTCCTTTTCTCTCTCTCTAAAATCAATCAAAAAATTTCATAGCCCTGCCAGTGTTGCTCAGTGGTTGAACACTGACCCATGAACCAAGAGGTCTCCAGTACAATTCCCGGTCAGGACACATGCTCAGGTTGCAGGCTCCATCCCCAGTAGGGGGCATGCAGGAGGCAGCCGATCGATGATTCACTCTCATTGATGTTTCTATCTCTCTATCCCTCTCTCTTCCTCTCTCTCTCTAAAAATCAGTATAAATTTATTTTTCTTTTTACAAAAACATCATTAAAGACAAAGAAAGGCTGAGGAGCTGTTTCAGATTCCGGAAGACCAAAGAGACATGACAATTAAATGCAACTCCTAGATGGGATCCCAGATGTGGGGAAAATAGCTACAAAGGATTGTTAAAATATTAAGCTATGTAAATTTGAGGATCTAATTGGTTTTATTAAATGATTCCAAAATCAGGCAGCACTCCATCTAGCAATTAGAAAGAAGATCCAAGGAGATGTACAAAATGAAAGCCTTTTATGGACAGAAGAGGGAAAAGTGTGGATTATTTCAAGCAAGATCACCTCCTTCAAGAGACAAAAGGGATCTATCAGGCAGATGCCAATATAAGAATGTCCAAACCTAGAGAGAATTTTTATAATAATGTATTTGAGCCAGATAATATGCCTGTAAGCAAGATTTCAAAAGACTGAGGAAAATGCTCCAGAGAATAACAGTTTGCAGTTTCTTTCATGCTTTTGAGATTAAGGAGGGATCATAGGGAAGATTAAATGAAGGTGGGAGAAAGCAAGGCATGGATCAGTCCAATTACAGGATAGTTAAGATTTGTGCTCTCTTGAAGGAGGGGGCTGAAAGAAGGAATTTCAAAGGTGTGTTAACCATGCACAGAAACAGAGGGCATGGCTTGCTTAAGGCAAAGTTAAGCCTTTTACTAGGGCGTTATATGCCTGGGGCATGACTACCCACCATGACCTGCCCAGTTAAGAATTTGTGATCAGAACCACTTTTTGTCTACACACATTGCCTCTGTAATGCTGACCAAAAAAATCCAGACTGACAGTGTAAGATTACCTTCCTGAGGGGGGCTGAAATTGCAATGTGGTTATGTGGGACTTAGCACAAGTGACTCCATTTGGGGCCTCTTGGGTCTTGTTTAATGGGATATTATAGGGACAGCTGGCAACATTCGAATGTGAACGGTGGATTAGTTCATAGAACTCTACCAATATGAAATGTCCTGATTTTATTGGCCTGTGGTGATGTAAGAAGGAAGACACAGAGGGGATAAATGGTGATGGAAAGTAAATAAAGTTTTTAAAAATGTCCTTGTTGGTAGAAGGTACATAGTGAATTACTGAGGGGAAGGACCATGATGTCTGCAACTTGGCTGCAAATGGTCCAGGAAAAAAAAAATGCATATGAATAAAGTACAAATACTGAAGCAAAAGGGTCAAACATGAACAACTGGTAAAGACAAGTAAAAGTTATAACAAAGTTCTTTCTATTGATCTTGCAATTTCTGTAGGGTTGAAATTACATCAACATTAAAAGTTCCGGCCACCACCCCAACGCCACGTCCCCTGCGAAGCTAAGTAAATTACCGGACGAGACCCCGCCCTACCCCTAGGAGGGAAGGTACCGATTCGGTTCGCGCTGACAGCAGCCTCCAGAGCCCGAGAGTCACGTGGGTGGAGCCCACGTGACCGGAGGCCCGCGTCCAACATGGCGGCCTCCATGGGTCGCTGGCTCCTCTTCCTCACGCTGCTCAGCTTCCTCTGGGACGCGTCCGGCGGCTTGGGTTGGGGGTGAGTACAGCTCCCGGAGACCGTGGGAGAGACGCGGTGAGCCGGGTTCGGGGGGACCCCAG